TTTCTCTGATCCTTTCTTTGCTTTCTCTCCTTCACGGTTTGCTGGGGGGGGCGGTTAGGGACATATTTGGGTTCCTTACTCTTTATTTTTTGCATATCTATTACTGTTTTTTGATTTGTAGTTACCATTCGGTTTATACATAACATCTTTTGCACTTAGCAGACTATATTAAGCTGACGGTCGCTTATTTTTAAACTCATTTTTTACTCTTCTCCCCTCTACATTTCAGATATTTGATATGATTTTTTATATCCTTTTATTTTGTGATTCTTATTTTTCTTATTCTTACTTAATGGTTTTTGTTTTCCACTCAGAGTCCCCCTTAACATTTCTTGTAGGGCTGGTTTAGTGGCCATGAATTCTTTTAACTTTTGTTTGTCTGGGAAACTCTTTATCTCTTCTTATATTGTGAATGATAGCCTTGCTGGGTAAAGTATTCTTGGCTGCAGAATTTTCCCTTTCATCACTTGGAATACATTATGCCACCCTCTTTTGGCTCACAAAGTTTCTGCTAAAAAATCAGCTGATAGATTTTTGGGGTTTCCTTTGTATGTAGCTGTCTTCTCTTGCTACCTTTAAAATTCTTTATCACTATTTTTTGCCACTTTAATTACTAAATGTCTTGGTGTGGACCTTCTTGGGTTTAATTTGTTGGGGGATCTCTGTGCCTCCTGTATCTGGATTTCTGTTTCCCTCCCCAGGTTTGGGAAGTTTTTAGCTATTATTTCTGCAAATACATTTTCTGCCTCCCTTTCTCTCTCTTTTCCTTCTGGGATCCCTCTAATATGAATGTTATTATGCTTGAAGGAGCCACTGAGTTCTGTAAGTCTATTCTCATTATGTAGTATTTTATTTGTTTCTCGTTGTTCAGCTTGATTGCTTTCCATTATTCTCTCCTCCAGGTCACTGATACATTCCTCTGCTTCCCGTAGCCTACTACTTATTGCATCTATTTTATTTTTAATTTCATTTATTGCATTCTTCATCTTTGATATATTATTTTTTATCTTTTCGTCAAGGTTCTTACTGATGTCCTCCACCCTTTCCTGAAGTCCAGTGAGTATCTTTGTGATCATTACTTTAAATTCTGTATCAGGCATATTATTTTTCTTTCTCTTAGATATCCTGCTGATGGAACACTACATCAAAAACTAATGATGTAATGTATGGTGATTAACATAACATAATAAAATTTAAAAACAAACAAACAAACAAAAAAGATATCCTGCTGTGATTTTGTCTTGTTCTTTCATTTGCAACTCTGTCTCCTCATTTGTCTACCTGTGTCTGTTTCTGTGTGTTACAAAAGTCAATTGTGTGTTCTGTTCTTTAAAGTAGTGGCTTTATGAAGAAGAGGTCCTGTAGTGCCCTGCAGTGCAGTGTCCCCTATTCACCAGAACCTGGCTCTTCAGAGGAGTCTCCTATGTGTGTTGTTTGCGTCCTGCTATGGTGTCTGAGTCACTTTTCATTTTCGTCCAGACATCTGCACTGACTCTTTGCCTGCTGTGGGCTGTGCTTGCTCTCTACGATATTAGTGAGATCCAGGTAGGCTGGCTCTGAGGGGGTGTGACAGCAGAAGGGCTTGGGGGCAAATTGTGATGTTAGCACAATTTGCACTGAACCCCTAGTCCTAGGCCGGACCTCCAATGGCCACATGGCTGTTGGGGGTACAGCACATGAGGATGGTGGTGGTGGCCACCAGGGGCACTTGGTGGTTGGGCAGGGCACATGCAGTGTTAGTTAAATTTGCATTGACCCACTAGTTCTAGGCTGGATCCCCCAAAGTGTGATGGCCATGGGGGCACAGCATGTAGAGGCAGTGGGTAGGTGCAGCATGCACGGCATTAACAAAAATTGCCCTGAGCCTGGAGCCGAGACCAGCAGGCTTGGAGTTGGCAAGTTCTCAGAACTTGTGGGCAGAGCGCAATACCAATAGGTTAGGTAGCAAGTGCCTGTGCAGTGCCAGGAGAGGAAAATGGCACCCGCCAGCTCCTTTGTTCCCATAGAAATCCTCCAACACTCTCTGAAATCAGTATAAACAGATCTCCCTCTGTTCTGCAAGCTGTCATTTCTATGTTGCCTTTCCTTGGGCTCTTGTCTCTTTAAGGGTGGGGACTCTTTATGGGCTATCACTGGCCCTCTGAATTTTAAAACTCCAGGTTCCAAGTTCTGCTGGTTATACAGACTCACAGAATTCAGCCCCTTTGGTTTTCAAGGCCAGAGGTTATGGGGATTCATTTTCTCTGTGTGGGCTTCCTGGTGTTTTCCCCTCTCCACAACTGCAGCTCTTTCCCTCCTGTGGGCAGCTCCTGACCACAGTTTCTGCTCTTCCTAACCTCTCCCATGCAGCTTCTTCTCTACATTTAGTTGTGGAGTTTGTTCTGCCAGTCTTCAGATCACTCTCCGGTTTATTGACTTGGATGTGAATGATATCCAGTTGTAAACATGGGACAGGGTGAGCTTAGGGTCCCCTACTCTGCCATCTTCCCAGCACCCCCTGAAAATTTTCTAATTTTGACTTCCTTGACAGTGCACCTTTCTGTTTTTCCTTCTCAGATATTGATTCTTCCTATTCTTTTGCTAGATTTCTAAATGTTGGTGGGCTGAAGAGCACAGTCCTAGTTTCTTTTCTTCCAACAATCACTCCCTGGTTAGTCTCACCCAGTTCTATGACCTCAGATACCCTCTATACATTGATATCCTAAATCTTCAGGCTTAAACTCTCTTCTGAAATTCCTACATGTATATCTGAGTATGGGACATTTCTAATGGATGTCCAAAAGACTTTCCAAATTGCAACTCCTAGTTTATCACTATTCCCTCAACTTGCTCCCCTCTCTAATCATATTCTCATCTCAGTAAAATGGCATGATCAACTACTCAGTTGCTCATGGTAAAAACGTAGGTGTTAGCATTAATTCTCCCATTTCATTTATCTTCCCTTACCTTATCTAATCCATCAAACAAGCCCTGCTAACTTTACCTGCAAAACACACCCCAAATCCAACCTCTTCTTTTTATCTCCTCTACTTCCATATTAATCTAAGACATTATCATCTCTGACCTGGACTATGCAATAGCCTCCTAACATTCTCTGCTTTCACCCTTGCTCAATTAAAATTCAGGCTTCACAGAGAAGAAAAATCTTTTTTAAAAAATGAATTAAAACTCTCATATATTGCGGTAGGAGTATGTACCCACTTTGAAAAACTGTTCAGCAGTTTGCTACAAAGTTAACCACATATGATCCAGTAATTCTACTCTTAGGCATTTACCCAAGAGAAGTGAAAGCACATGTACAAAAAGATTTATACAAGAACGTTCACAGCAGCCTTACTCCTAAGAACTAAAAACTGGAAATGACCCAACTGTCCATTAAGAATAAAGTGAGGTATATTTATACAATTAATAAAAATCATCAATAAAAAGAATGAAATACAGATAAATACAATGACATGAATGAATCTCAAAAATATGGTAAGTCAAAAAAGCAAACATAAAAAAGTCCATATGATTCCATTTACATGTAACTCAAGACTAGACAAAATTAACCTCTGGTAATAAAAATCAGAATAATGACTGCCTCTGAGTGGGAGGTGGGGAGTGATGCCTGGAAAGGAACATAAGGGAACTTTCCAGGGTGATGGAAAGTTATATATCTTGACTGGGGTTGTGATTACATGGGAATATATTTGCTGAAATTCATCATCATACATTTAAAATCTATGTATTATATTGTATGTGAATTATATCTCAAATTTTAAAAAGTTTTATAAAAATGTAAATCATCTATAGGTGACATTATAGTGTCCTTAAAAGAGAGATAATATTACTGCTACCTCATGGGGTGGTTAAATGAGATCACCTATAAAGCACTTAGAACAGTGCCTACCATGTAGTAAGCCCTCAATGTTAGCCATTATTATGCTGATAATGTCATTCTCTGGCTTAAAACCTTATGATGGCATAAATAATAAAATCCAAACTCCATATTTTGGCCTACAACATCCTATGTGATCTAGCCCCCATCTACATCTTCAGTCTCATCATTATTTCCCTCACTCACTACAGTCTATACGCTAGCCTTCTTTCCCTTTACTGAACAATACCAAGAACATTCCCATATGGGGTCTTTGTACTTGCTAACCCTTCAGCCTAGAGAGCTCTTTGACAAAAGTCTTCATATGGTTGGCTCCTTCTTTTAACTCTGATCTCAGATTAAATACTGCCCACTTGAAGAGACATTCCCTGACCATTTTATTTTTCATTATCTGTCTCCTCCCAGTAGCACTGCTAGTCTATGGAACAGAAACTGTCTGACTTGTTCACAGTTGTATCCTCGGTACCTAGAACAATGGCAGGCACCAATAAATATTTGTTAAAAGAATGAATAAGTGAATAATTTCCAGTTTTCTGACTTGTGCAAATGAATAGATAATATGCATTCATTTGCTGAGATAGGGAATACTGGAAGAGTGTGTGTAAGAACGTGTTATAATTTACATTTTTAAATATCAAACAAAGCAAATACTGAACAAAATAATCAAAACCACCAGATTTTAGGGTTTTCTGTCTCTGGCAAAAGACTACATTTAGACTATACCAAAGCATTCTGTCAGCTCTTCTCTTAAATATCTCCTAAAGAAACAGTCTTTTTGTCTCAGTAATGTTTTTAACCTCTAAATTAGAAATCAAAAATTTTTTAAATTTCTAGCCTTATAATTTGAACACACATCTTCTAGAAAATAAAATATGTCTCATTATTCCTTAAAATTTTAATGCATGAAGATTGCTATTACAGCACTCAGACTATTATACTACTAGGACTTGTCTTTCTGGGCTATTTTAAACATGTAAAGCTTTCCCTCCCCAATCAAAGTGTCTATAACCAAACCTCAAATTACAGAATCAGTGCTATTATACTTATTTAATACCATTTGAAAAAGTCTTTCATTGAATTTTTAAGAGGAAAAAAAGTTAAGCATTCTAATAAACCTTACCTTCGTTTGCAAATCAGGAACCACAAAGCTGATGCCAAAGCAAAGAAACCAATTCCCAAAGTAACAGCACCAGCAGCCAGAAAATAAGTTAAGTGGTTAAAAAAACCTATACAAATAAATTATAAAAGATTATTTCATGCATGTATCTTCATTCTCTAGGTAAAATTAAATGACATAATAATATGAATGATATGACATACTGTAGTGTTAAAACATTAACCAGGAAGTTGGGAAACCTGAATTCTAGGGTCCTGTGCAATTCTAACAAATTTCAACACAAGGCCTCATGGTGATTAGGGTCCAGGGTGCATTTCTCTGACCCTGTCTCAATTTGATACCTAGGTTTTGTTTGTTTTTGTACAGCTGTCACCTCCTTTTTTCTTATCTAGCTTTCTCCTTTCCCAGTCTAGCTGTAAATTTTTGTTATTTTTCCAGTATCATTCTTTGCAGTCCTCCAACATAAGATACTTTGCATTTTAAAATTTGTATTATCAATCACTACAAGAAGGCAGATGGAGGGTAATAAATAACAAATATGAGGAACTTTAAAATATTTTAGAAATCTTTGTTTTATCTCTATTTTATCCCAGGAACAATAAAAGATCATGGCCAAAACCTAAATAAAAGCAATATAAAATAATAGCATATCACAGGTTTAAAATTGGAAAAGCCTATAGGAATTATGTGGTATAACTCCTTCATTTTACAGGTGATAAAATTGAGGTCTAGGTAAGAGAGAGACCTGAACTGAGATTAGGCAGCAGATTAAAGCCAGTCCTCTGTTTTTTTCTATTATCTTATTCCTTCTATAAATCATCTTAATACTGGTATGTATTGAAAAGAATTAAGAATATAGAATGCACGAGGTATTTATAGTCAGGTTGGTCAAGTATTCCTTAAGATTCTGAAATCTGATACCTAACCATAAAGCAAGCTGTAGGAAGCTTTCACAAAAAGCTGTATAGAACATAAAGGGCCTTAAAACAATTTAAGAGTACAGCTGACCCTTAAACAATGTGAGGATTAGGGGCACCAACTCTGTGCACACTCACAAATCCACATATAACTTTTGACTCTCCGAAAACTTAACTACTTATGTATATACATGTATAAACAACAGCCTACTGCAGACTGGAAGCCTTACCAATAACATAAACAGTTGATTAACACATATTTTGTATGTTCTATGTATTATATACTGTAGTCTTACAATAAATAAGCTAGAGAAAAGAAAATGTTATTAAGAAAATTATAGGGAGGAGAAAATACATTAATAGTCCTATACTATATCGAAAATCATCCACATATAAGTGGACCCTCACAGTTCAAACCCATGTTGTTCAAAGGTCAACTGCATATTACCTGGAAAAAAAGGATTTAAAAGTATAAAACTATAGAGAACAAACTGATGATTACCAGAGGGGATGGGTTAAAAAGGCGATGGGGATTAAGGATGCACTTGTGATGAGCGCCAGGTGTTGCACAGAAATGTTGAATCACTAAATTGTACACCTGAAGTTAATATTATACTGTATGTTAATTAACCGGAATTTAAATAAAATCTTAAAAAAATAAAACTAATGGAAGATCTTTATGTGTGAACATATTATAAGTTCCACTAAAAATATGACATGATAAAGACTTTGTAGTTCCCATATTTTTGTTGTTTCCTAAGTAATTTCCAGCTTCCAAGATGATGCCTCTCAAATCTAAGTTTTGTTTGGGTTCAGAAAATGTCTACATTTGGGAATTAATTAATGGTACCAAAAAAATATAGAAGGCTATTTATCAAAGTGATACTTACAATACAAAAAAAAAAAAAAACACAACTTCTAAGTAAAACAACTTAGGAGGGCAATTAAATAAGTTATGATGATGTTACATATGAAAAATATCATATTCTTTAATTATTTAGTGCAGGATTTCTCAACATCAATACTATTGATCTTTTGGATCAGATAATTTGTTGTAGGGATTGTTCTATGCATTGTACCAAAGATGTCTCCAGGCAAATGTATTCTGGGGGGCAAAACTGCCCCAGCTGAGAATCACTGGCAGAGTGGTATAACAAAATATCAGACAGTATTCATTGATAAAAGCAAGATTGGTAAAATGCATATTTTTAAAAAATTAAAAAGACATAATCATACTCAAATATAAGATAAAGATTTCTAGGGGCACCTGGCCAGCTCAGTCAGAAGAGCATGTGACTCTTGATGTTGGGGTCATGAGTTCGAGCCCTACACAGTGTGTAGAGATTACTTAAATAAATAAAACTTTGGGGAAAAAAAGATAAAGATTTCTAGGGACAAAGAAATAAAAGCAACACAGAAAAATAAGTAAAGCCTAAAACCACAGGCATATGAAGCACTGAGATCTGGAAGCAAGAATTAGCTACAAGAAGCAGAGAAAATCACTGAGACAAGACCTAGACCAAATCATCCTTGGGCACTGTGAATGACTACATTAACAAAATCTCTGAGGGAAGGGGGTCCTGAACCACTAATAGAAGACCAAGAAGGAATCTTAGAAAATGAAAAATTCAAAAGTTTTAAGATAAATTCTTCCTTGAACACAATGAATGAGATGAAATATAACACTGAGAAACTCACCTAATTACATAAAGAAATGAAAAATATAAGGAAATATGAGATTGAAAAAGATTAAGAATATATAATATAAAAGTAACAGGGTTCCTAAAAGAAAAAATAGAGTAGTGGAAAAGCAATATTCAGGGAAATAACCTAAGAAGGAATTTAAAATTTTTTAATTTATATAGTAAAATTCATTTGTGTGTGTGTGCAGTTCTGTAAGTTTTGACAAATACAAAAAATATCTGTCACAGCACCATAACCAAGTTACGTGAGACTTCCATCATCTCCCCAAATTTTCTCATACTGCCTCTTAGTGGTCAAGCACTTTAATTGCTGGCAACCATTGTTTATTTTCTATCCCTATTCTCCATCCTTATACTTTTGCCTTATATGAATTTCATATAAATGGAATCATACAGCACGTGGCCTTTTGAGTCTGGCCTTTTTCACTTAGCATAATGCATCTGACATTCACCTACATTGTGTTGCATGTATTAATAGTTTGTTTCTTTTTATTGCTGAGTAACATTCCATTTTACAGATGTACCACAGTTTGTTTATTCCCCAGCTGAGAGACATTTGTTTGTTTTCAGTTTGGGGTTGTTAGATTAAAGCTACTATACACTTGCATTAAGGTGTTTGAACATAAGTTTTTAGTTCAGTAGTGTCATGTAGTAAATATATATTTAAATGTGTAAGAAACTGCCACACTGCTTTCCAAAGTGTCTGTATCTTCTATTTCCCACCAGCATTATATGATAGTTCCACTTGCTCTGCATCATTGCCACCACTTGATATTGCTAGCTTTATTTCAGTCATTCTAATAGATGTACAGATGTACATTCTAATAGATGTACAGATGTACAGTGGTATCTCACTGTGGTTTTAATTTGCATTTCCTGAATGAATAATGATGTTGAGCATCTTTGCATGTGCTTATTTGCCATCCATATGTCTTGTTCAGTGAAGTATTTGTTTACATCTTTGCTGATTTTTTAGAATTCCTCAAGTCCTTGGTCAGATACATGATTTGGAAATATTTTCTCCAAGTCTATGGCTTGTCTTTTCAATTCTCTTAAGAGTGTCTTTCACACAGCAAAACTTTTAAATTTTGGTGGTGTCTAATTTATTAAGTTTTTCCTTGTATGGATTGTGTTATGGTCCTATCTGAGAACTCTTTGCCTAACCCAGGCCACAGAGATTTTCTCCTATGTTTTCCTATAAAGGATTTATAGTTTTATGTTTTACATTTAATTTATGATTCATTTTGAATTAATTTTTACATAAGGTATAAGGCATGGGTCAAGTTCCTTTTTCCCCCCCTTTGGATATGTATATCCAGTGGCTCCAACACCATTTGTTGAAAAGACTATCCTTTCTTCACTGAGTTGCTTTTGCACCCTTGTCAAAAATCAAGTAGCTATATTTGTGTCAGTCTCTTTCTGAAATCTCTATTCTGTCCCCTTGATATATATGGTCTATCATTTTGCCAATAACAACAACAACAACAACGATAATAACTGATATTCATATAGTAAATACTACATGCCAGGCACTGTTCAGTGTATTATATATTTAAACTCATTTAATTCTCACAACTCTGAGTTAAGTACTATTATTTCCTCATTTTCTAGATGCAGAAACAATTGAGGCAAAATAAAGTTAAGAAACTTGCTTGAAGGCACACAACCACTAAGTGAGGGAACAATAGTAATCTAAAAGTTGCTAAGGTCTTTCCTTACTTAGATCGGGTGGAGAATAGAGACCCTTAATATCTTTAGATTTGTTAGAAAAAAACCAATTAAGTAAGGATGCTGAATATTTAAGGATATCATAAAAAAGAACATCTAAATGGCCAATAAACATATGAAAACTTCATTAACAATCAGGGAAATACTAATTAAACCACAATGAGGTAATAACAACTACTCTATATGATGCCTAAAATGAAAATGACAGAAAATGTCAATTGTTGCCAAGGAGGCAGAGTAACCTGAATTCTCATTTACTGTTGGTGCGAATGTAGTTTTGTAAAATACTTTGGAAAACTGTTTGGCTCTATTATTAAAGCTGAACATATGCATACCCATGACCCAACAATTTTTAGACATATACCAAAATGAAACATATACATATACATTCAGAAAAATATGTACTACGTTTATAGCATCACTATTTGAGACAGCCACCAATTAGAAACTGCACAAATGCCCATCAACAGTTGAATGGATAAATTTCAAAAACTGAATTGATTTAAGAAAACAAAATATTCATAAATGGGAAAGAATAGACTATAACTATGCACAACAAAATAGATAAATTTCATAAATAATGTTGGGCAAAAGAAGGCCGACATAAAATTCAAACACAGGTATCTGGGGAATTCAGGAATGCTGGTTATGTTCTGTTTCTTGGGCTGGGTGCTGGTCACATAGGTGTGTTCAATGAAAATTCATCAAGGTTAACACTTAAGACTTATGAATAAACTAGATATATACGTATCAGCATGAAAAGAACTGAAAAACAACGTTCAGTGCAAAAAGCAATTCCCATAAATTCATGTTCAATTATTCCAATTATGTATTGATTCCATGTATGCACATTAAAAGAAAACACAAAATAATACTATTTCTAAAAAAATTAATGTAATAGAAGTATTAAAATACATTAAATTCATTATATTTGTTGTGTCTGGAGAGGGAATGAGGGGAATGGGACTAAAGATGGAACGTAAACTCAGAGTTTATCTGTAATGTTTTATTTCTTTAAAAAATTAAAGAGCTGAAGCTTATATGATCAAAAAACATGTATTTAGTAGATTACATGGGTGTTTGTTATCCTTTGTCCTTTTCCTTTTTCTTTTCACTTTTCTGGTTTTCTCAAATATTAAAAAAATATATAAAAATAATATAATTTCAATTTTGTGGAAAAGAAAGACAAAGAAAGAAAGAAAGAAAGAAAGAGAGAAAAATAAAGAAAGAGGAGAAACATTTGTATAAGGAAAATAATCAACAATGGTTATCCCTGGAGTAAGGGCTTGTAGTTACAATTTTCTACTCTAGACTTCGTGTGTGTGTGTATTATCTACCATGAGTATCTAGAAAATTCAGAAAAAAAATCTTTGAAGCTTCTTATATAATTCCTGACACCTTTACTTTGATACTACAAGTCTCCTTATAGAACATTATTGTTATCACTGTGATTATAGCCCACTTAACTGTCTCCCCTGAAGATCCCTGCCCTTCTCTATCTTTTCTTTTTTTTCAAATTTCCATTAAGCAAGAAAATAGGTGTGATTAGTACACCATCATAGTCCCTGGTTTAAACAGGTCATTTACATCTCAGGGAAATCCCAATCAGGTATAAAGAACCTGAAAGTTTCGAAACCACTTTACCAAGAGAAAGACAAATTACATATTTGTTAATACCTTCAACAAGTCACACAATCTCTCTAAATCAATCTGTAAAATGAAAAGACTGGACTCTGTAAATCATTAAGATCCCCTTCTCACTTTAAAGTTTTAATCAATATATATACAAAGGTAGTATTTTTACTTTCTTGATTCTGCTCTTAAGTATCCTGTCTAAAGTAATGACTCTACTGGGGTGCCTGGGTGGCTCAGTTGGTTTTGAGCAGCAGGCTCTTGATTTTGGCTCTGGTCATGATCTCAGGGTCCTGGGATTGAGCCCTGCATTGGGCTCTGCGCTCAGCGGGGAGTCTACTTGAGGATTCTCTCTTTCCCTCTCCCTTTGCCCCCCACCCGCGCTCATCGCATGCACCTCTCTCTCTAAAAATAAATAAGTAAATCATAAATAAATAAAGTAATGACTCCTCACTTTCAGCAGTTACTCTATCATCTCACTTTGTTTCTTTGTCTTTAATAATTACTATTGTAAATAATTTTCTTTACTGGTTTATTGTCTATTCTGTCTTCCTCTACCAGAAGATAAATCTTTTTCATTATGGTATTCTTGGAATTTAGAATAATGACTGGTTACTCAAGAAATGACTGAATATTCAATAAATGAATGATAGGCACTATGCTAAATGCTAGTATTACAAAAATGAATAATATAACTATGTTGTTTATAATATAAGTATGTAATAATATAAGTATGTATGTAAGAAGGTCATACATGTGAAAAGGAATAAATGCAATTAAAAAGTATATAGGTGTTATAAAGGAAGAAATAAGTACAAAATGTGGTCACAGGTAGATTTATAAAAAGGGTAAATTTTTAAAAGCTCCGTAGTTTAAACATGGCCTGAGAATTTTCTATTGCCAAACCTCTGTCAAGAATTGGTGATTGAAAGATAAATAACACATGATCACAGAGTTTATAATCTGCAGGAGACAAGACATTTAAATGGATATGTTCATTAAAATATTCTAAGTGCTATGATAAAGACCTTTTGACAGTGCTAAGACAACAGGAGTTTGATCAAGTACAGGTACAGTCCTAGAGATAACACCTGAGCTGAATCTTACAGACTAAGAGATAGCTAGGCAAGAACATTAAGTCCTTTTTTTAAAAGACTTTATTTATTTATTTGATAGAGTGAATGAGAAAGAAGCACAAGTAGGGGACACAGGCAGAGGGAGAAGCAGGCTCCCCACTGAGCAGAGAGCCCAATGCAGGGTTCGATCCCAGGACTCTGAGATCATGACCTTAGCTGAAGGTAGCCAGCTTACCCAGGCACCCCAAGAACAGTGTCTTAAATCTTAAAATAAATAAAAATCTCTCTTGGCAGCACCCTCCAGCTTACAAGTGATCCTTTTTTTTTTTTTTTGGTACCATTTGCAGTCTAAATGAGAATTCCTACTTCTTCACATCTATTTCCAAGGCCATTAATAACTTCATTAACACAAAAATCAAAAGGTCACTATTGGCCACTCTCTCTTTTGCCTTGGCATCAGTAAAATAAATTCACTTAGTTTTCCTTCCATTTATGTATCTATACCTTTATTGCCTTTGTAGGTCCCTCTTTGTTAGCCCATCTATCCTTTAACATATATATCTATAGCTATTCTTTATATTGATATAAAGGATATATCTTTATATAGTTATCAATGTATGTATGTATATATCTGTCCTTTAACATATCTGTCTAGATTTAGACAGATATATAGAGGTATTTGAAGGATATAGATAGATATAGATGTTATCTATATACACCTATATCTATAACTTTTCCCAGAATTATTAGGTATTTGTATCAGAGTGTTTTCAGATTATTTTTTGCAATAATTCCAGAACTACAAGTCCTGTTTTATTTTTTGAGTATTCACAGATTACCCGTTTATTATTTCTTTTAGAATTTTGCCAGATTTCAGTCTCAGGTTTACTCCAATTCAACAAAAATCTTTTTTTTTTTTTTAAGATTTTATGTATTTATTTGAGAGAGAGTGAGCAAGCAGGGGAGGAACAAAGGGGGAGGGATAGGGAAGGGAAAGAATCTTAAGACGGCTCTGTGCTGAGTGTGGAGCCCCTTATGAGGCTTGATCTCACAACCCTGAGATCATGACCCAAGCCGAAACCAAGAGGTGGTCACTTAACTGAATGAGCCACCGAGGTACCCAATCAACAAAAATCTTTTGAACACCAAATATGTGTAGAACACTGTTTCAGATATCAAGTGAGGGATAAAAAGCCATTTAAGTAAGAATGACTCCTTGCCCTAAAGGTTTAAAAATCTATAATGAGATATAAGCAAGGCCCATATGCAACCAGTATAAAAAGTTGACCATACTTTTTTAGTTAGTGTTTGTTCCAAGTGGTTATAAGACTAACTAGATCTGTCTGCGAATATAGAAAAGTTACTTATTGTGCTAGCTGGACTTTAATGTTCTTATTTGAAAAATGGGAGTCATACTATCTATCTTACACAATTAGAATTAGAAATAAATGAGATAATGTTGCAAGGAATTAATAACATAAAAAAAACAGGAAGACATCTCAAACTTAACATGCATATCCAAGGCCATAAAACAAGAAAGACTCAACAAGTTTTATAGAATCATTTTACACATACCACATTCTCTGAAAATTTTGAAATTAATAACCTAATATATACCCTAAGAAAAGCTCCCATACTTGTGAAATTTAAAATCACACTGTAAATAACTCACACATTAAAGAAGAAATCAGTGGAAGTTTAAAAATACATAGATGTGATGAATAATGATATGTACAAAGACTTGTAGCAACAAAGCTGGAGACAAATTCAAGGGAAATGTATGGCCCTAAATGCATATACTAGAAAAGAAAGCTGAGGGGCGCCTGGGTGGCTCAGTCGTTAAGCGTCTGCCTTCCGCTCAGGTCATGATCCCAGGGTCCTGGGATGGAGCCCCGCATCGGGCTCCCTGCTTGGCAGGAAGCCTGCTTCTCCCTCTCCCACTCTCCCTGCTTGTGTTCCCTCTCTCGCTGTGTCTCTCTCTGTCAAATAAATAAATAAAAAATCTTAAAAAAAAGAAAAAGAAAAGAAAGCTGAAAAATAATGAGCTTATCATGCAAATTGCAAGTTGAAAAAAACCAGCAAAATAAGCCCAAATAATGTAGAGAAAAGAAATAATGAACAGAAATTAATGGGATACAAATTAAGATTTTTGGTAAAGACTAATAAGATCGACAAATCTCTAGTTAGATTAACAACCAAGTAAAAAAAGGTACAAGTAAGCAATATTTAAAATGAAGAAAGAACATAATTACAATTACAGCAGTTTAAAATAAGAAAATACTTTGAACAAATTTATGCTAATACATTTTAAAACTTATACAAAATTATATGTACCTAAAAAGTGACTCAAGAAGTAATAGAAAACCTAAATGAACATGTATCCATTAAACTGAATCAGCAGTTACAAAATTTCCCCCAAAGAAAACAGCAGGCCCCAATAACTTTACAATTTCTACTGTATACCCATGAGTCAAGTATTTCTTATCTTATACAAGCTCTTCCAGAAAATGAAAAGAAATTTCTGGTTGTTTGTCCAAATACATTTTCCTCTTCTTCCCAGGCAAAAAGCTAGACTACCATGTCCCAGCTTCCCATACCATTAAGTGAAGCCATACGACTGAGTTCTAAACAATGGAATTTGAATGGAAGTGATGTCATAAAAACCTCTCAAGCACCTTTCTCCATGTTCTTTCTCCTTTTAGGTTTGACTGGGAAGGAAATTATCCCCAGGGAACTTTGGAGCCTTGTGTCACCATGGATCTAATTAACATTTATAGAACACTCAACCCAAATAAAATGAAAACACTACATTATCAGGATTTTTGGGATGCCACTAAAGCAGAACTTAGGGGAAAATTTACACCAAAAAACTGCAATATTAGGAAAAAAATGTGTGAAAAACCTTAAAAACTAAAGTAGAGCAGATTAAGCCCAAAGTAAACAGAAGAAAAAGAATATTAAAAACTAAAGTGAAAACCAATGAAATAGAAAACAAAACAATCCAGATGGTAAAAAACTAGCAATAGATATGCAAAAAATAAAGAAAAAGGAATCCAAGTATATCACTAAAGAAAGCCAACATACCATGGAAGAGAGCAGAAGAAAGGATCTAGGAAATCATAGAAACAACCATAAAACAATAACAAAATGGCAATAAAAACATATCTATCAATAATTACTTTGAATGTAAATGGACTAACTGCTCCAATCAAAAGACATAGGGTGAAAAAATGGATTAAAAAAACAAACAAGACCCATCTATATGCTGCCTACAAGAGACTTATTTCAGACCTAAAGACACCTGAAGATTGAAAGTGTGGAGATGGAGAAAGAGTCATCATGCAAATGGATGTCAAAAGAAAGCCAGATAGCAATACTTGTATTGGACAAAATAGACTTTAAAACAAAGACTATAGCAAGAGACAAAGAAGGACACTATATAATAATAAACAGGACAATCCATCAAGAAGATATAACAACTGTAAATATTTATGCATTCAATATGGGAGCACCCAAATACATAAATCAGTTAATAGCAAAATAAAGAAAATAATTGATAGTGATACAATAATATCCATTCATCAGTCGATACAATAATAGTAGGGGACTTTAATATGCCACTTACATTGATGGAGAGATTATAAACATTGATGGAGAGAAAATAAACAAGGAAAGAGTGGTTTTGAATGACACACTGGACCAAATGGAGTTAACAGATATATTCAGAACATCCTTAAGCAGCAGAATACACATTCTTTTCAAGTGCACATAAAACATTCTCCAGAAGAGATCACATATTAGGCCACAAGATAAGTCTCAAAACTGAAGAAAATCAAGGTCATACCATGCATCTTTTCTGACCACAATGCTATGAAATAGAAATTAACCATGAAAAAATTTGGAAAGATCACAAATACATGGTGGTTAAATAACATGCAACCAAACAATGAATGGGTCAACCACAAACTAAAAGAAGAAATAAAAATTACATGGAAACAAATGAAAATGAAAACACAATAATCTAAAATCTTTGGGATGCAGCAAAAGCAATTCTAAGAGGGAAGTTAATAGCAATACAGGCGTACCTCAAGAGGAAAGAAAAATCTCAAATAAACAACCTAACCTTATGTCTAAAGGAGTTAGAAAAAGAACAAACAAAACCCAAACCCAGCAAAAGGAAAGACAGAATAATATTAGAGCAAAAATAAGTGATATAGAAATTAAAAAACCCAATAACAGATCAATGAAAACAGGAACTGGTTCTTTGAAAAGATCAACAAAATTGATAAACCTTTAGCCAGACTTATCAAAAGGGGGGGAGGAAGGGAGAAAGAGAAAGGACCCAAATAAAATCACTACTGAAGAGGAGAAATAACAACCAACACCACAGAAATACAAACAATTGTAACAGAATATTATGAAAACCTATATGCCAACAAACTGAACAACTCAGACGAAATGGATAAATTCCTAGTAACATATAACCTACCAAAACTAAAGTAGGAAGAAATAGAAAATTTGAACAGATTACCAGCAATGAAATTGAATCAGTAATCAAAAAACTCCCCCAAAATAAAAGTCCAGGATCAGGCAGCTTCACAGGCAAATTCTACCAAACATTTAAAAAGAGCTAATACCTATCCTTCTCAAACTATTCCAAAAAATAGAAATGGAAGGAAAACTTCCAAATTCTATGAGGCCAGCATTATCCTGGTACCAACACCAGATAAAGACACCACAAAAAAAAAAAGAGAACTACAGGTCAATATCTCTGATGAACATAGATGAAAAATCTCCGCAAAATATTAGCAAACCAAATCCAACAATACATTAAAAAAATCATTTATGATGATCAAGTGGTATTTACTCTGGGGATGCAAGGGTGGTTCAATATAGATAAAACAATCAATGTAATATGTCACATCAATAAGAGAAAGGATAAAAAACATAGGATAGTTTCTTTTTTTTAAGTTTTTGTTTATATTCCAGTTAGTTAACATACAGTATAATATTAGTTTCAGGTGTACAATATAGGGATTCAACCCTTCCATACAACACCTGGTGCTCATCACAAGTGCCCTCCTTAATCTCCATCATCTATTTAACCCCCCACCCACCGACTTCCATTCTGGTAACCATCACGTTGTTCTCTGTAGTTAACAGACTGTTTCTTGGTTTGTCTCTCTCTCTCTTTCCCTTCGCTCATTTGTTTTGTTTCTTAAATTCCACATATTTGTGAATTCATATGGTATTTATCTTTCTCTGACTTATTTCACTTAGTATAATACTCTCTAGTTCCATCCACGTCATTACAAATAACAAGATTTCATTCTTTTTTATGGCTAAATAATATTCCATTATATATTTATATGTGTGTGTGTGTGTATACATACATACATACATATATACATACATACTACCTCTTCTTTATCCATTCATCAGTCGATGGACACTTGGGCTGTTTCCATAATTTGGCTATTGTAGATAATGCTACTATAAATATCAGGGTGCATGTATCCCTTTGAACACATTTAATTCAATCCCTATCAAAATACCAACAGCATTTTTCACAGAGCTAGAACAAACAATCCTAAAATTTGTATGGAGTCACAAAAGACCCCGAATAGCAAAAGCAATATTGAAAAAAAAAAAAAAGCAAAATGAGGAATCACAATTCTGGACTTCCAGTTACATTACAAAGCTGTAGTGATTTAAACATTATGGTACTAGCATTAAAATAGACACATAGATCAATAGAACAGACTAGAAAACCCAGAAATAAACTCACAATTATATGATCAATTAATCTTCAACAAAGAAGGAATGAATATACAATGAGAAAAAAACAATCTCTTCAACAAATGATGTTGGGAAAACTGGACAGCCACATACAAAAGACTAAAGCTGGACCACTTTCTTTGGCTATCTACAAAAATAAATTCAAAATGGATTAAAGACCTATATGTGAGACCTGTAACCATAAAAATTCTACAAGAGAGCACAAGCAGTAATTTCTTTGACATTGGCTCTAGAAACATTTTTCTAGATATGTCTCCTGAGGCAAGGGAAATAAAAGAGAAAATAAGCTATTGGGACTACATCAAAAGAAAAAGCTTCTGCACAGCAAAGGAAATAATCAACAAAACTAAATGGCAACCTATGGAATGAGAGATCATTTGCAAATGATATATCTGATAAAGGGTTAGTATCTAAAATATATAAAGAACTGATTAACAACTCAACACTCTAAAACCAAATAATCCAATTAAAAATGGGCAGAAGACATGAACAGACATTTCTCCAAAGAAGACAGCCTAATGGCCAAGAGACACATGAAAAGATGCTCAATACCACTGATCATCAGGGAAATGCAAATCAAAACCACAATGAGGTATCACCTCACACTTGTCAGAATGGTGAAACACAAAACACAAGAAACAAGCATTGGCAAGGATGTGGAGAGAAAGGAACCCTCTTGCACTGTTGGTGGGAATGCAAACTGGTGTAGTCCCTTTGGAAAACAGTATGGAGATTCCTCAAAAAGTTAAAAATAGAGCTATACTTTGATCCAGTGTTTGCACTACTGGGTATTTACCCCCAAAATACAAAAACACTAATTAAGAGGGATACATGAATCCCTATGTTTATTGCAACATTAGTTTCAGTAGCCAAACTATGGAAGAAGCCCAAGTGATCATCAATAGATGCATGGATGAAGATGTGGTATACCAACAGACACATGAAAAGATGCTCAACATCACTCATCATCAGGGAAATATATATCAAAACTACAATGAGATATCACCTCACACCTGTTAGAATTGCTAAAATCAAGAAGACAAGAAACAACAAATGTTGGCAAGGATGTGGAGAGAAAGGAACCCTGGTGCAGTTGGTAGGAATGTAAATTGGTAAAACCACTGTGGGAAACAGTATGGTGGTTCCTCAAAAAATTACAAATAGAATTACCATACATTCCCATAATTCCACTTTTGGGCATTTACCCAGGGAAAATGAAAACACTAATTCCAGAAGATATATGCACCCCCAGGTTTATTTCAGCATGACTTACAATAGCCAAGATATGAAAGCAACCTAAATGTCCATTAGTAGACGAACAAATAAGTAAAATGTGGTGTATATATACAATGGAATATTACACAGCCATAAAAAGGTTGAGATCATGCCATTTGAGACAACATGGATGGACCTAAAGGGTACTATGCTAAATGAAATAAGTCAGACTGAGAAAGACAAATACCGTGATTCTACTCATAAATGGAATCTGAAAAAAATGAATAAACAAAAAACAATCAGAACTACAATGAACAAACTGATGATTGCCAGAGGGGAGGGGGATGGGAAGTTGGGTAAAATGGATGAATGGGAAAGGTAGATACAGGCCTCCAGTTATGGAATGAGTAAGTCACAGGAATAAAAATCAGAGCACAAGGAATATACTCAACAATACTGTAATAGCTATGTAATGGGACAGATGGTAGCTATACTTGTGGTGAACACAGTATAACATATAAACTTGTCAAACTTACTGAAGCTGTACACCTGAAACTAAAGTAATATCGTCAATTATACTAAATTTTAAAAAAAGATGT